GAGGCTCAGTCACGGGCAGCGCCCCGTAACCTTAACAATCCTGATCACCTCCCAAAGGCCTCAGCCCACACAGTCTGACTTCATGGTCAGATGAAGTGTTTACCCTTTTCATGCCTCACAGCGAGGATCAAGTTTCAACACACGAAGTCTTGGGGGACATTCAAGCCCCAGCCAGACTACAGCAGGTGGCCTCCCCACAGCTTCTGAAACACAGCTGGGAACATCTGCTCAGGTTCACTCCCAGTTCCCATGCCACTACACAGTTTCTTTTATTGCAACACTGGCAACTATGGAATTTCTTTGTTCTTTTTATAACAGTAGTTTAGGGCAGGGTTTCTCCTCTTTTCTTTTTTTGGAAATGGAAAATTCGTGTCATGTTCCAATTCTAATCACTGTTCTCTTTTGATGAAAAATTTGGGAATCATTAATTTAAAATTAAAGTTCAGTCTTGCTCTGCTCACAGCAACCTCACATGTTTCAGTAAACTGGGGGAGGTGACAGACAGGACAAATAAGCTCTAGATCAGCTCTGGAAAAGCTGCCACCTCTTGTATTGACAGCTGAGTCATATCTTGAAACTACTGGGAGACAAAACAAACTGGTCAACCTAGAATTCAATACCAGCAAAAATACCTTCCAAGAAAGTGAAGGTGAAGCAAGTGGACTCTGGAGAAAGGGCGGCTGGAAGCATCTGTAATCTACTCTAGGGAACAGTTTGGCTAGCAAAATCTGATGTAACTCTTCGGAACTCGGGGGTCTCTCAAAGGCCTTCAGCTTCTAGGGCGAAAATTTAGAATGTAAATTTCAGTCAGTCCTAGCTCTTAGCTCAGGTGTCAGAGCAGGATCTGGGAGCACGGGGAAGCCACAAGACCCTATCCTCCAAATATTTGGGTCTGCTCTCTGACCCTCAACTTCTGATTCCGATCACAGAGGTGCAGACACAGAGGCAGGCGGCCACCGTGCACCCCCTACCCCGCTTTGCACAACCCCAGCTTCTGACTGTTGTCACTTCCAGGGAATTTAAAGAGCCAGCACTCTTCCACATTTTTTCTTTTCCCCATTTTTCATTTTTTTCTTTCCCCCATTTTGGTAGCCAGACACTAAGGACTAAGGCATTCAAAAGCAGTTACATAAATGGGGAAAGTCAAAATGTCCAGAAAACGAGGAAGGCACCAAACAAGCCTGAGACAACCTTCAGTTTACACTGCCGGCTCATCCCTCAGCATAGCAACAGCCTCTAAGAAGCCAAAGCAAAACCCACAAACACCAGAAAATTCTGGAAGAAAGGGAGACTGATTTAGAGTTGCTGCATTATTAGGTTCAAATATTCATACACAAGGAAACAGGGAAGTATGTTTCATTGAAAAGAAAAGGCGCACCAAGAGAAAACAGGACGGCAGACTGACAAGACTTTCGAACAAGTCTTTGAGGCACTAAGAAGATGAAGAGAGTCAAGACAGTGATATACATATGGAGTGGAAGGATCAACGAAGATCCAGAGAAATGCTAGAGCTAAAAAGTATAAGAACGGAAATGGGAGGAATTATCAGCAATGT